GATACACCCTTGTTAAATATTACGCACCAGACAAGGATTTTATCTGCAAATTTCGCCTAATGCTTGTAGCTAACATTATCAGGGCATTCCTCTACGTTGTCCGTATAAAATCCGTCGTTTCTCTTCAGTCCAGAATTACTTTAAGTGAAATACTTTTCGCCATCTAAAAAAATGATTTTTCCATTGGTAAAGTGTAGGAGTTCTGCTTGAGAGTATTATTATTATTATTATTATTATTATGATAATTGAGATGAGCAGAGTACACAGTACTATAAGCTCATGCAGTAAATATAGTGTACGGACACGTAACACAAATACATCAAATAGAAAAAAATAAAAAAAAGACAGTTCATAGCTATAAAGTCTGTACACTCCTCCAGCTATCATACTGCACTTTGAAGCTATTAACTGAAGTAGCACCAACCACACTTTCAGGTAAACTATTCCAGGTGTTGAATATGCGGTTGGGAAGAAACCTCTGTCGGACTGTTGTTTTAAATGGCTCCTTATGCAGTTTGAAGCTGTGTCCGCGTAGATTGCTGCGCGACAGACGGTATAGATGCATGAGGTTGGTGCCCATCAAACCATGAAGTATCCTGAACGTAACTATAAGATCGCCACGAAGTCTTCGCTCAGAGAATGAGGTCAGGTTGAATAATTCAAGGCGATCTTCATAGCTTGGTCTTCGTGCTCCAAAAGGGATATGAGTAGCCCGACGCTGTACTGATTCGACGAGATTTCTATCGCGCAGAAGCACAGTGTCCCATACCGGGCCAGCGAATTCAAGAATTGGCCTCACGAATGCCTTGTAAATGTAGGCGCAAGTGTTGACATCGGATCCTTTGAAAGACCTCTCCAGCATGTATAGAAGTTTCTTGGCTTTTGATGTAACGTGGTGAATATGCTCTGACCAGGAAAGACGATCGTTGACTACAACGCCCAGATCAGTGTGGCTGGAAACTGCTTCGATGTTGTGGTCAGAGATCTTGTATGTAAATCGCGGATTTGTCTTCCCGAGGTGAAGCACTTAGTTAGATTTAAGGGTAAAAGCCAACTGACTGACCATTGACAAACAATATCAAGATCTCGTTGAAGCATAGCAGAATTTACGACAGTATTGTAAATCTTGGCGTCGTTGGCATAAGCTGAACATGTGGAGGAAATCAATGCGGGCAGGTCACTTGTATACAGAAGGAATAGCACTGGCCCCAAGACAGAGCATTGAGGAACTCTACTTGCTACATGATGAAGGTGAGACTGGCTATCACTGACGCGCACAGAGAAAGTCCTCCCGGTGAGAAAAGCCTTAATCCACAGTAACAACTCGCCTCTTATTCCCATACATTCCAACTTAAACAGAAGCCTTCTATGTGGTACGCGATCGAAAGCCCTAGAAAAATCTAAGTAGATTATATCAACAGGAGTCTTTGTGTCCAGATACTGAGTCCAATCGTTGAGAGAGTGGAGAAGGTTGGTCATTATTGATCGACCAGGGAGAAATCCATGCTGATTCTTAGGGATAAGGTCATTTTCGAAAGCAAATGACAGGAGCTTATCTAATATGATTCTTTCAGCTTAGGGGCACTTAAGTCTCTTTCGATGATGAAGACCATTCGTTCTCAATTTCAACGATACGTACTCTTAGAAGATCTGTATTGACGTCTCCTTGTTGATACTCTAACCTGATTATTTGCTCTTCTCACCAATCTCTCTTCCACTTTTTGGGAGATTCAGACATGGTATTCCCTGCTCGTACTCCGCTATTGTTCGATAAATGGTTCTTCATGAAATGTTTTTATTCTGGAATATTCGACAGATTTAAGCTCTAGGTACATTGTTTCTAATTATACGACATCTTGAAGCGAAAACTTCAAAATAAATAATTTTCAACTGACAGTAAAGTAAGTAAACAAACTTTTTCTCCAAATGCAACTTGATATTATTTTGGGTTTGCTAAAATTAAAGCCAATAAATTTTGTGCCAAAACTTTTAGGGCATACGTTAGCTAGTTAGTATATGCTATATTGCTTAACTTATTTTTCATTAAGTCAAATTAAATTTCTGAGTGAAACAATAGTAGCCCTGTACCATATAAGATGTGGTCATCAATGCAGGCAGCGACTTCGTGATAATACTGCGTTGTTCGGCCGACTAACAGAGGGCCAGCCGTGTACGGCGCTTTTCCATGGTTGTTGATAGACATTTTGCTCCGTTTTCGTTTGTTGCATGGAACATCGCTGTGTACGGTGCACTAGACCATTATCTACTATACCGCCAGAACCGACGGCATCACGCGGTCATAGGTATGTCCCGGCCGTCGAAGCGAACTTTACAGTTCCAAAAGACATACTTTGGCATTGGTCAATTCTGGTAATACGAGTAGATGACATTTGTGCTGTCGTATTTTGATTGACTTCATATTTGTTGAGGTCCTTTCTACCCTGATCAGCATGTCTCAGAGGGAATCAGTCGAACTGATCCACCGATCAGGAGTAATCATCATCCTTCCTTAGCATGCTGTCTTTTACACAAACAGTGGTGCATATTCTGAGCCACATACACAGATTTGTCAGGAATCTGTTTCTCGCTACACTATACGATTCTAGTACTCTATAGATATTTCGAGAAAGCCGATTCCATGTTACTGGGGTGTTGGTAAAGTGGAGTAATCTAGGTATCAAGAGGAAGTTTGACCGATTTTAATGCCTGAATCAGTCCAGAACTCGAAACAAGACCTTGTTTAACACGTTCACTGCCACATTGGTCCTATAGTACCAACACTCATGTTGCCTCAGCAGGCCACATTGGTCCAATAGGGCCAACATATACAGGGTGACTTTGAAGTTGAGTCATTAATTTTCAGATAATGATTGTAGAAGGAAGATAAACCAAAATATGTGTGTAGAAATAAAAAAAAATAAAAAGAAAATGTTACCTTGTTTTATAAAGTATCCTCCCGACAAGTATTTCAGAGCGGACCTATATGTGATCGTGCGGTCTTGGAGCACCGGCATGCCCTCATCTGTGAGGTCTTAAGTCACCTGATTCACGAGCCCTTTGTACTACATTAACAACGGCACGAGGGGTTGGTTGCACTCGATTGGGAAACCGATCCGCATAAATCCGTGATGCCGCGGCAGCATTTTGTAAAGACTCCCCCCGCCCCACCCGTAAATAAGAATCATGTCCTCAAGTTCAGCATTTTCGTAAACATGTGCCATTTTTTATTTCGTTTGAGCCACGCAACAAACACCACTATTCACTCACGCGTTACCGACTGACACATTGACTGAATACAACTGAATAAAATTGTAGTAAAAACATCGTGATAAGCATTTCAAAATCTTTCGCTTTTTTCGCTTTTTTGTTTCCGATGCGATGAACCGATAAGGCGGATTATATCCGTTGTCGCCAAACACGAGCACATAATATTATTATTGAGACAGGGCGATACTCAAACTTCTAAAGGGCTATAACTTTGTTACTTTAATTTTACCAGAAAAATGTTAAAGGAAAAAACATTTCTTTTGATCAGATCTACTCACTGTTAAAATAAATGACTCAACTTCGAAGTCTATTTTGCCTTACCAGGCTATGTTGGTCCCATGGCCTAGAAGCTATACGACGCACGTATAATTTCTTAGATTTTTCCATAATGAGGAATGTGGCCCCGATGGGACCAACGTCTTCTTTATATGGTGGCCCACTAGTGCTCAATGTAAAATATATGTTTGGCGTAGTGGCACATTTTAAAAAATATGTCTGGCAGGGAACGTGTTAACTTCTGTATTTATTCCTTTCATGCGTCCTTCTCCCTAACTACACTGAAAACCAAACACCACTGACGTCATAATGTGTAGGAGAGAGAAGCGCGAGAAGTGTGCAATACGTGTGTTCGAAAGTAGAAGCACCTCGTCGTCTAGCAACCTGAGACAGCATCGTCGCACCCTTTTAACATACATATTGGACGCTTCTCGTGCTTCTCTCTCATACACATTACGAGGTCGGGCAAATTTGAACCTGACCGTAGAAACCGTCTTTCCCACTGCTTACAAACTTTCATATGTTGGTTAAAACGGTAATTATCCACAGTCTCCATTATTGCCGAATTCCTGGTAACCTCTGCAAACTACCGTTCGGACCCTGCCAAACTCTATCATTTTGACTCAGGGCGCCCTTAGTCTCCGTGGAGACAGCCAAAGAGACAAACAAGATTTTCAGAAACGTCTGAGTATCATACACCTACGCTCTCCAACTTTCTTCAGTGGCAAGGTAAGGACCCTAGGATTTCGCTTTGCCTTGGGGCTCCTGCAGCTGCTAAGTGGCTTAAGATAGCCATGGGGCTGGAACAATTTCTACCTTTATTCATCTCATCCGGACGGACCTGGTCATATGACCTCTAACTCTGTGCCTCAGGGGCTCTTGACTTGGTGCGGTGGCCTGTTAGACCGATGCACATGCCTTACCGATACTGAAGGGATTTTCCCGCATTACGAAAAGCTTAATTCTTGTGATTGTTTTTGTGAATTGTACACAGATTTCAGTTGATTTGGGGCTGTGTCACGAGTCTCGACAGCGAGATGAACTACTCCATCAAGCAGTTCGCGATGTGTCTAACTCATCAGCTACTGTCTAATGTTTTGCTGCACATGTTCCAAATAGTTTTCCAACTCTTCTGCTGATATGTAGAACTTGCATAATATTGCAACAGCCTCTGATATGCCGCCGCTACCACTACTTTCCAAGCTACTAACGAACACAAACAACTACCGTTCAAACAGAAGTCGTTCAGCTGCTTACACGCCTCCGTTTGCCTTCCGAGCTTCGCTTTCCGTCCACTGATGGCGCTACGTCCCCTCCCGGCTTGGCTGGTCTCCTAGCAACCGTCGATCGTCGATTGGCCGCGCGTCTGCGATGGCTGCCGCCCGCCTGGATACTGGAGGGGCGACAGAAGAGGGGAGGGAAAGCCGACGATGCTGAACGACTAGAAGGAGATGTTCAAGACGACGATGTCGATGATAGTCGGTCGTAAGGGGGAATGCAAGAAGGATGGTGCAGGGCAGAGTAAAATGTGGAACGGCGTTTTGGTAGGGAGGTATGAATGGTTCCAGTGGCGTAGATGAGCATTTAACTTACATCGAGTTGGAAAATCTGGTTCATCGCCGATGTTGGGGAATAGAAGATGTTCAACAGGACGGCGTTGATGATAGTCGGTCGTAAGGAGGGATGCAAGAAGGAAGGTGCAGGAGAATGTGAAATGTTATTTCGTTGGGAAGGTTTGAATGGCTAGCTGGATTCACCTTCCATGATTACACACCTTCATTAGATGAAATCGGACAATTGAATTTCTTGACTCATTGTGGACACTTTTCAGTAATAAAAAAATACCTACCAGCGCTACTTTCCAAGGTCGATCTTCTTAGATGGCGCTACATTCTGTCCATCTTCTGCTTGAAGTCAAACTATAAACCACCGGTGGCACCCCACAGTCGCACAGCGTTATATAATGTATCCAGAAACAGACGCCCGCCTTGTTCTTCAACCAAACAACCATACCTATTTATTGGTAATAAATTTGTCCATAGCGCTAAGAAAAAAGGGCCGATAAAGATATTAATGGTTCAATCAAGATCTGCCTCCCCAAAGGCTTGATTGGAGCCTAAGAGAGAGATTTGTTCCGCTAGATAAGAACGACCTTTCGAAGCGCAGGGGCCCAGCTATCTTGAGGTAGAATCAAAACCATGGTCGCAACCAGCACTGAATCTTTTCGTCTGGTTTTGATCTGGCCCTGGCTGGGTCTTGAAAAAAATCAAGTGCTAAATGCAATTATTGGATCAGTTTAAATAATCGCATAAGACCCTTATACCGCAAACTACAATATATTATTATATTTATGTATGTACGTTTATCCTAAATTACTTTATTTTTTCCAGATTGTATTGAATTCGATGCACCGATACCAACCTAGAATTCACCTGGTCAAGTTTCGCGAAAACTCGGGGCCAATTACAGACCTCGAACAGGAACAGTATCGGACATTTGTCTTTCCTGAAACCGTGTTCACTGCAGTGACCGCCTATCAGAATCAACTCATCACCAAGCTAAAGATTGACTCAAACCCGTTCGCTAAGGGGTTCAGGGATTCCTCAAGGCTGACGGACTTTGACAGGTAACTATCCATACCGTAATAAATAACAAACATTTCGCCATTGGCCAAGCCTGTACCGTAGATAGCCAAGCGTCTATACGGCGCTGAGGCATAGCAACATTTACAATAGAGCTATGGAGCTTTGTGGCTCTACATGGCCAGTGAGTGGCTGAAACTACATCGAAGCATCATATATTTCTTATTATTGCGTCGCTGTGACATACCAAGTCAACGACAATTCCTCTTAACGTTTTCTCTTAGCCTTTCATCGTTTTCCTTGCTTGTAGGTGTATAGTACCACTCTAGAGGCGTCAGTAAATAACATTTCTGATATACCTACCTATACGCCTGCCTTTTGAACTATTTCTTGATGATTCATTGAGTGATTGAATGTGTAACTTCTCTTAAGGAAGAAAAAAAAAATTAATGTATCTCTGCAGCCTTCTTGGGCATTTAAAAAAGCTACTTCAGAATCGCCACCGATGAAAAGCTCTATTGACCTTTAGCACCGTACAGATACTGACATCCTTGATGGCATCAGTACTCTCCTCGAGGTACTGCGAGGCAAAACACACTGCACCGAGAGAGTACTCATTCTCTTTTAGACTCGTCTATCGTCGTCTGTTCTCAGTTCGAAATTGGTTTTTTTGTGCAAGAGTCAGGAGGCGAAGCTATACTGAATTTTTGGAAATGTAACAAATCGAGTCAGTACCTATTGTGGATCGGTTTTACAATGACAAAAAGGTTGTATGTGCACATAATTACGAGTATAATAACTGATTATGCTTAGGATGACATCTTCCATACTTTGTAACGCGCCGATCTTTTCGTTTGCAGCCGAACTGAATTGTACAGGGTCGGTCGCCACTGGATCTCTGGTGCGCGTGTCTTCGGCGAGACGTTGCGAAAACCCTCGCTGAAGAGTATACTGCCGCCAAAACATCAGGGTGTTTATTTGAACCCTTCCCACCACGGATATATCGTGATTAAAAGAAAAAACGCCGAGACACGTCAAAAGATTTGTCAAAAACTACTTCAGCCCCTTTCATCCTCACCACCCCAAGGTCATTCCCTTAAAAATTTAAATGACAAGGGGAATCAAGTTATAGTTTGTTTGAAAGGTCTTTATCTTTATTTATCTTAATTTGTTCGGATAGAAAACAAAAACACACGAAAATATCACTGTTTATTTCAATAAGCGTACAAAATGCTTCCCGTTAGGGTTTGCCATATCTAGAATTAGTTTATAATTTAAAACGGAATATCAACGTAAACAGAAATTCGGAAGATTAGACGTGGCAACAACCAAATAACAACCCGAATTTTTTCCAGATTATTTTCATCAACACATCCTGGGCGAACTGTATTTATTGTTATACCTGTTGAGTCAACATATTTGTTGCTAAGGGCAAGAAAGAATATAATTTGCTGTCAGTTACTTTTGTGACAATCTTGGGATAGTGAAAATTAATTTATTGACTCAGATTTTACTAATAAAATGGTTTACATACTTACTAGTCGAAATAGTAGAAATGATTGTGGTGCCCAAAATCAATATGCTCGGCAACTGCCAATACGTTTAACGCCAGAAATCCGAGTAGGTATGCTTTGGATCTTGTTACTCAAACTGGATCTGTTGAAAATAAAAAACGTGATCATTGGAGAGTTTTGGATGAAGCCGCTGAAGTTGAACTTTTGGGTCCTTTTAGATTAAATCCTAATACTTCATTACGCAAAATTGTTGCTGCGACAGGTATTTCATTAGGCTCTGTACACACAGTCTCTAAGCTCCATAAATTTCATCCATTCAAAATGAAAATATTGCAATGGTTAACCGAAGATGATTTCGATAGGCGAGTTGAGTTTTGGAAACAAAAGACTGCAGCGATTAATGGTAGTACCATTCATGTAAAGAATATCTGCTTAAGTGATGAATTCACATTTTATTAAAACGGATTTGTTAATAAACACAACTACAAGTATTGGAGTAATGAAAATCCTCATGCTTTTGTAAAAGGGCATATTCAGTACACCCAAAAATTAATGTATGGGCAGGCATTTTAGGAAAGAAAGTGATTGGACCATTGTTTATTAATATAAATTTGAAAAAATTTATTTGGGTATGTTGGAAAACATTATCAATTCGCTTATCACTGAAACCATTGAATTCCAAATCGAAGAGGATGGAAACCCTACATTTGATGCTGAAATATATTTCCAGCAAGGCGGCACCCCTCCTCACTATGTCCTTCCGGTTCGGCAATGGCTAGACTTTTTTCTATGGGTCTATTTGAAATCTATTGTGTTTACTGCCCAACATGAAAGTTTGGATGAACTTCGTCAACGTATCATCCGAAGTTTTTGGTTCAAAAGTTGTCCCCCTTGACAAATCTTTTGACGTGTATCGGTATTTTTTCTTTAATGAGTGGTTTTCGATAAATCAGTGGTAGAAGGTTTTTAAATGAACACCCTGTATAGACATTATTTTGAATTACTGAAATCCATATCAGGCTTACAATATACATTAAGATGGAATTGTATGTGTGCTAAGAGAAACAATAACCTGGAATGACCTTGTGTTGCTAATGCATTGTTTTTTTTTGGTTGCTTGGAAGTAATTGGATTCGAACCAGTACACTACCGGTGATGGCGGAGGTCGTAAAGGTGACCGAAAACGACTTTTTTCACGGCTCGACCACGACACCATCGTAATTATCTTATTGTTATTAGCGGCCGGTTTTTATGACGGTCGTAAAGGCCTCTGCGTAGACGCGGTAGCCGCGCGGTTTGATGGACCCTTTCGTTCAACCCAACTACTCGCTGTAAATTGAAGGAAGGTCTAATGAATACTTTATGTTCGTGTTATTTGATTCGCATAATATAACAAATCTTATGCAGGTGAATCACCTGAGCATACGCAGAAAATTATTGTAGTTGTTATGAGAGGTCTTCCGCTGAAGGTTTTTGAAAATTCATGGATAATTCAAAGCAGGTGCTTTCCGCATTTTCCAAAAGTAACCAGCAGTATCTTCGAAGTGGTTGCAAATAACGAAGTACGGTTTGCATCAACTAAATCGCTTTAAATATAAATCGCTCAACATCGTCATTAGCTTTGACCTATCTCTTCTAAAAGTGGATCTTGGCTCACACCCAAAACCGTATATGTACTCATGACTAAATCGTCTATGAACTGGTACTGAGTGGTGGACAGTCAAATTACTCTGTTTCATCAGGTAGACTAAAGATAAGTAGAAGTGTTATCTGCAGCTCCTGAACATCGAGCGTTTTCCAAGAATACCCCGTAATATCAAAGAAGCGGTAACAGATAACAAGATATGGTTTTCGCCAATCAACTTTTCGTAGAAATTCAGCTGGAGACATCGCCATCGGATTTGGCTTTCCTCCATTACAAAGAGCATCTTGGCGCTTGTACATCGTGTAATCCAGATTACATGTAATAAGTCAGCCCTGGGATCTGGGCGAGGAAGAATCAAGTGACACTATTTGATATGTTGGGGTGGAGGAAGCAGAAGCATTAACCGTAGCTTCATGCTAGTAGTCAACCTAATTCATGACATTTTTCAAAAACTCTTCGCGGACATCTGAAGCGGTGATAGATAACGAGATTTGACTGCCAGCAAAACATGGAGATATAATAACACCAGTTACATACCTATATAAATAGAGCCCCAGAGATTACCGCCATCTATCTATCTCATCTGTAAGGTGAAATATATTCTAACTGGCACATAATCTCAATCTTTTTTTCCCTTTCATGACATTTACAGAAATCCCCGTAGTATCTCTTAAACGGTGGCAGATAAAACGGTACGGTTTTGAACAGTTAAGCTTATATAGAAATTAAACCCCTGACATCGGTGTCACTTTTGATCTATCACTTTCATCAAGAGGATTCTGGCGGAGTACGTCATGTACTTTTCCTTTATACTAAGAGCACATTACACAAAACCTCAAAGAATCTGTTATAAGAAAGTGGGATGCAAGGGCATGGTTCTCAGGGGTCGACTGGTGGTTTAATATAGACACCACAAAAAGACTCAATGCCAAAGTACTCTTGGTTGCCTGACTTACCGCCCCCTTTTTTCACGTTGCCGCAACCCGCAACAGTTTCATTTTCTTGATGCCCGAGCATCCAGTGTACCTGAGAGTGGTGAACCTTTTTCTAACAGATACTCTAGACCTAGAGTTTTTAATACCAGCTCTCGTGAATTTTTTTTTTGAGAAACAACTGGGCGCCAATCTTCTGCCAACCCAGCTCAGTATGCAAGAAAAATTGATTACCTGTCGGTTATAATTGTGTTTTCCTCTAACCTGTGGGGATGATTCCCCATCTGGTGAGGAGGCGACTTAAAACGCGGTGGGAAACGTGAAAAGGGGGTACGTCAGCCAACTGGGAACTTTTTTTGCCACTAGCAGGCCCAGGGGGAGGGGGGGTTGAACCACCAGTCGACCACTGAGAACGCCAATCCGCCGACCGTTCCACTTGCTTCTTTCCACTAACACTTGGGAGTGGAGAATCTTTCTTCTAACATATCTTCTAGGATTTCGTTTCATGGACCCTTAGACCACTTGTGCTGAAACCCGCTTGCTGCATTTTACCAACTAAGTTTTGATAGAGTTACTTTGAATGCAGAATAATAAAGTCACTCTATTCCAACCTGTTTTCTGGAAAAGTGAAAATGTGACCGCAACATCAAGAATACTCCATATTATTTCTGGAACCTTGACAGATAACGAGACACGGTTTTCGCTAGTTGATTCACCATGAAAAACTAGCCCCTGATATCGCCATCTATATTTTTTACATTATAGATTCTAACGTATATCCAAGCCGGCACGCCGTGCATTCTTGATGAACAAACAGGCTCTGAGCGAGCGACAATCAAATCACTCTATTTGATCCGGTGGGCTGGGAGAAGTGAAAGTGTTAACCGCAGCTTCAGGCTGGCAGGCATGTGCAACGGAGAGCGCAGAACAGGTCGATGTGTTGTGATAGAATTTAAT